AGAACCCACCACAGCGTCCCCAATCACTAGTGCTCTAGTGTGGGAGAGCTTAACTCTCTCTGATATCATTTGAGAAAAATTTTCAACTTATTGGTTCAAGTGGGTTATAAGTGATAAAATCTTTCAGTCATGATATAAACTTTTGACGAATTTGCTATGATATTCATTTTGACAGGTTATTGAATTTGTGCTTTTCTATTTTATATATGAGATATTATTAACCAGAGTCGGGTATATTTTTATAAATCTGTACCCACCCAATGAGAGGCGTTCGCAGGTTTAAAAATCCATTCAATTTTCGATTAATGTTATTTTGTAAAGGATTGGTAATTGCTTGGGCAACGGGCACTTGCGGCTTACTCGGCGGATTCCCAGATTCTAAAATGTCCTGGGCAGCTCTAAATAGAAAATAATATTATTAAATTAAATAATGTATATTTAAAAATATGTAATACAATATACAATATGTAATACAATATAATAAAAGTTATTTGACATTGTTTCTGAATATATATTATCCTAAAGAATACGTGACCATTTAACTTTTTGTTGGTCTTTAGCCCAACCTCCAGCCTTCGCGTCCTGCAAAAACATTACGTCAAAAAACTCCCTCAATAAACCAAAGAAATGAAATGATATTCTAATCATTCTGCACTTATTGTATGTACACATATGTACATACACATATATCCACACACACGCATAAGCCCGCGCTCTGATAACTTCTCAGTAAGCAGCGCCTGCGCTTACGCTGCGCTGCAGTGTGAGCAACAGTGTTGCTAAATCAGCTTTTTGCCGTTTCGTTTTCATGTTTTGTCGGGATAATTCGTACGTAGAATGAAGTTTTGTTCATTGTAGTTGAATAAATACCAAATAGTTCAGTAGTTAAATAAACCAAGCGGTAATAATAAAATGGAGCTAACTAAACTAGAATATGACTTATATTTAATTCAAAATAACTTATTATGAACAACAATATCGAACTTTTTGATACTTTGTAAATGAAACGTAAAAACATTTTAACAGAGCTTATAAAGCAATTAAAACAAGTACACACACACACGCACACACACTCACATATACAAGCGACTGCGCTTGGACTGCGCTGCAGTGACTGCGCTTGGACTGCACTGCAGTGTGAGCAATGTTATGAGAATTCATTTGTTGAATAATTTAATTTCTAGACGTACATTCTTAATGAAAATTTCTGAACGTTATCATAATGATCTAATGTATGTACATTCCAAAGCACAAGTCTCTTTGTGCTTTGGAAATGCATTTTTTGCAAATTGGGGGAGCGAAGGGGGCGTGGTATCCACAATCTGTTGATAACAAAATGTTTGTATTCATTGATATGTATGTATGTATATGTATATATAAATCTTAAGGCTCGAGGTCTAATAGTGTTCAAATGAGGCTGAAAAAACAATATCAATTTTTCGAATAATCTCTATAAAAGAGTTATCGGATGATTTATCGAAAAAATAAAGCAAACTAGTACTGCGTATGGTTAAGCGAGTAACCAGCTCATCAGCTCTCTAGCTTTTGTATCTTTTGAGATCGACGCACTCATACAGACAAACGGACGGACGGACGCATAGGCGGACAGACTAACAAGGCTATATCGACTCAGCTCGTCGTCCTGATCAAGAATATATATACTTTATGATAAAAAATATAATACCTGAAGCTAGAAATAATCCTAACCCTTCAAGCATCTAACAGCACGACAAAGTAGTAAGCTACCAGTTTTGCATATACATATAACATTACCTTAAGCTGTAGTTACTCGATTCCTCGTCTTCATTGGGTTCAATAAATTGCAGCTGTGACCTTTTGTGCCGCCACCACAGATATCCACCGGCCAAAAATAGGGCTATCGCAATGATTAAGCCCAGTATAGCTAGGCAAGCTATCAGTATTATGCTCGCCATATCTGTAACAAGTTCAAATAAATCTATATCAGATAATCACATTATTTTCTGGGATTTTTTTAAATTTACAAAACTCTAATATTACAAATCAATATTGCATAAGATATACATACGAAATTTGGGGACTCTAGATAAGGGCTAAGATCGATGACATTAAAACATTCCGATTCCGCATTTTTTTAATAGTTTAGTTTAGTATACATTCCAAATTTCAAATAGCAGTACGGACAGAAGAATGAGCATTGATGATAATTTAAAGTCGGCATCCAAAATGTATATGTATATTAATATCAATTTGGAGATTTTAGCTTAAAAAATCTTTGAATATACAGCTAAATTAAAAACTGAATTTCAATATTGTTGTGTTATTTTCTAGATCAGCCCCTAGGCGTTCATACATAAACGCAGGCGGATGGACGGAAAAGTTCCTGTTTAAGAATATATACACTCAGTGCGTGTGTGTGTGTGTGTGTGGGGGGGGGGGGTAGGTATATATATATATATAATATATATGTAATAAGCAATGGTGGCATCACCCTCCCCCCCACACACACACGCACTGAGTATATATATATATATATATGTGTAAGCATGTATACATAATCACATTCGATAAAGACAAAACTTTTTTTGTGTGGCATACATATAGAGGCTAATTTCAAATTTTACCTTTCAAATGACTTCATACATATATATATATAAATTTATCCTTTTGAATAATTAAGGACAATAATACTCCAACGTACTAGGCTCTGTGATATTGTTTATATATAAATAAATTATATAAATAAATCTAAAGAAATCCAGAAAATATGTATTGTTTCCATATATATTTATTTATTATAGATAAATGTATATATATATATATATATATATATATATATATATATATTATGTATATATATATATATATACATATATATACATATACATATATTAGACACAAATATGGAAGCAATACATATTTTCACTTCTGTTTATTTTTCTTCTAGATTTATTTATATAATTTATTTATTTACAACTCTGCTTCACACATCTTACACATTTATTTATTTTTTTTCTAGTTTTAAAAACACTTTTGCTCGGCGAATTTTGTGTGTATAAGTAAATGTAACTCAGCAGAAGGGGATGACGATGACAGTAACCGACGAACTGGTAAAAGTAACCGCCGAAAACAGAAAAGCTCATCTATCCCAGTGGAGAGTCAGAGGTGAATATTGGAAAAGAAACTTGTATATATATATATATAAGATTTATAGGTCGCTTTTTTCTAAGTCTGACTAAACTGAAAGCAAATTGCAAGTTATATTACTTTATTCTCTCTTTTAAAAGAGATAGATAGATAGATAGGCTCCTAAATATTTAGTAAATTGAAATAAGTCTATTCAGTGCATAAGAAATATTATTGATTATCGAAATATATTTGCTTTGTCTTAATTAAAATTAGCTTTTGCTATATTTAACCTTACTCTTTTATATTCATATTTATTACTCTATGATACTACCATTTAAAAAAAAAAACACATTTTGAGCAATGGTCAGGGCCTAGTTATGATAATGATAATCAATAATAGAGTATTATTGAAAAAAAAATATTTTGGTGCTGCATAAAGTAAACTACAGGATATCTGTTAGCTATGATAGCTTAATTCAAGTGGTGAAATCCGGGGTATTTTCATTAAGAGAAGGAAATTCACCAAACTCATTGAGAGCGTTACAAAGAAATAAAGAGAGAGAGAGAGAGAGAGAGAGAGAGAGAGATAGAGAGAGAGAGTTTTTATAGTACTCAGGGGCCATGCGCTTTAAGAATTTTAATTTCTGCGCATGTCAGAGGCCTCACCGAACGCAAATCTGGCATTGCTTTACCAGAGTGCAGACATTTTTCCTTATTTCTCGAATTTTTTAATACTTCTTCTAAGCGCACTATGCGTGCATGCACATACATATATACGAAAAATAGAAGAGAGGTACGAGAGAAAAGAGCTATTTTTACCATTGAATCGACCAGTTGCCCAGAATCGGAATCTACTCAGTTTAAGTTTAGTCGTAAGGTACCCGTATCACACAACGCACCTCACATATTTTTGGGCTTGAAATTGATGTGTGTGTAGGTTTATATATATCTATGTATGTGTAGGTACATAAATCTTTGTGTGTACTCATTAGTGTTCGTGAAGGTTCATATACACACATACACTTATAGGTACATTCGGATATGCGTGCTGCTGAAGGTACACACGCATGACTTATCCCATAAGTTTGAGAGCATTTTACTGTATATGCGTTGAATATGTTTTAAAAAACACGGACATTGAAAAAAAAAAACGATATACTCATTTCACTTTCGTGAATGAGTATAACAATTTCCATATGCTCCATCGGAACGTTAAAAGAGCAAAAGTTTGTCTAAATGTGTATGAGTGTGTCTGCATGTATGTATAAATATATATAGGAGATAAGAGAGTATGTGTATTGTGTAATTATTGTGTAACGTTCAGAAATCGGAATATTAATATACTTGAATTCATTAAACTGTTGAATAAAAGTAAATATTTACATATATACATAGAGAAAGAGAGAGAGAGAGAGAGAGAGAGAGAGAGAGAGAGAGAGAGATAGAGAGAGAG